TACTCTTTCGCATTCATCGCTTGCATTGAATTTTTATGTTTGTGGCCATGCTCTTAAAAAATAAATGATAATAGTAGATCACATGATTAATATGACCCAAAAGATCGTCCCTAGCCATTTAATTCCAGACCCAAAATATTTGAACCTTAGATTTTTCAGATTATTAGTATTATTAGTATTATGCTTATGTTACTATTACTGCACATACGGAAAAAATCCCGACAGTTTGGCAGTGTGAATTCTCACGAAGCCACCCTGCTTTTCGTGTTACGGCGGTGTCAACGCTGATTTTGCTGTCTTCAATGATGATGATCTCTGTTTTTCACATCAATCTCTTTTGAATAATCGTTCTTCTGCCCCGGGCGCAATTAGTCCGGTGACTCCACACGAAAATGATGAGCTCTGGACTCGGTTTTTCTCTTATTAGAGCTCATCCGCAGTACATATCCTTGGCTGGACCGCGGTTTGAACTCCGGAAACCTGACATTTGAAGAGAGCGTGTTACCATAGCTTTGCCTACGCTTGGTGGACGCGGCTGAATTATCACGGTTGCGCGTGATCATGCTTCATCCATGTAGCTGGTTAGGTCGACTGGGGGATTCGCCTGTCATGAATTTCCACTCAGGCAGCGACACGGACGAATCAACAAGCAGCCCAGCGGAAAAATAATTTCACTGGATGTGTGAAACTTGCTATATCTGCTGATTCGTCAATCTGTGGTATCTGCTGCTGACCCGCTCCAGTGCCTAGTGTCGGAGAGAAAAAGGCTTACGGAAGGGAACGCAATAGCTACATTCCAACAAAGTGGTTGCGAGAGCGCGAGTGCGTGCGAGTGCGAAAAGTACAACGGCCTCAGGCTTTTTATTGGAAGGACACTGTCTGAACTTGGTCCAATGCTGACGCACGCGGTCTGGCTTTAGTACGAGGCAGCGACGTGCTGCATATTGCGGAGGCGTTGTCTGACCTTGATCAACGCTGACTCGCGCTGTCTGGGTTTGATACGAGGCTGTGGCGCGCTGCATATTGAGGAGGCGTTGTCTGTCTGGTCAACACCCAGCGGAGCTGAGAGTCTCCGTAGATTTCGGGCATTCAGTGATTGCATTCAGGAAGCTGACCTTCCTGATAAAACTTTTTTTAGAAGTCGTGCGCGACCACGTGATGTGGTTTCTGTCATTGAATGATGTCCTGTCCAAGTGATAGCTAATCACACTGGTGATTGGCCAGTCTTGGCCAGACGGTTAAATGTTCATCCACTGGCCCAGAAAGTAGCGGGTTGGAAACTCTCTGCAGAAGTTTCGTGATGATGATTCCCGGTGAGGATGAAACCGATGTACACTGCTCCTCGTATTTTCAGCATAGACCGATTTCACTTGAAGGTATACCGGAGCCCACCTGTGTAAACGAGTCGTTCGTATTTCACGTATTCTGGTTTGTTAGAATACGGTGTGATGAAACACAATGTGCCATACGCGACTGCTTTATCGGTGGACTTTTGCTAGCAACATAAATGTCTGTTGATGACAGGAATGTTCTGGACTGACTACTGATCCCAAGGTGTCCTAAAGTCTGTGGATGCATAATTGTCTGAGCATGAAGCTGACTAATTCTTCCACCCACTGAGTGATAGTGTAGCCGTTCCTAATAACCGAACATCACATCATTTGGAAGGATGTGTCACATGCAGGACCAAACGGAGGCATGCTCTGATGGGTCAGAATACCAACCATTCCGGATCGGGCATCTTTGACTCGACGCTCCTCGCCCCCTCACGGAGATTCTGGCTCGACCTTGTGGGACATCTTGTGCCCACCCTATAAACACAGTTGTAAAATTTTCCATTGTCTCCATAAAGGGCTATCTAGGGCTACGGTGCATTTTGATATACTATAGTGGGCGAAGCAGGAAGCCAAGGGACCGTTACTGAGTTGCACTACCGTTCAGCAAGTCACAACAGATAGTATGAAAAGACTGATCATTCATATCAGGCATCGGTCTTGGCGAACACATTCATCCTAGCCGGAAGGTGGTGGGTTCGAGACTCGTGAGGCGCAAACTGCTGATGATCCCTGGCCAGGATGAAACAGTTGTACAGTGCTTCTCAGCTTTTCAGCATAGACTGGCTCCACTGACAGGGTCAAATTTCTATTTGGTTATCTGTAAAAGTCGCATACACATCACCCTGTTTGGAAGCAGCCACCGAGATGAATCGATCAAAATCAATCAACCGTCACGAAATCTGAAACGATTCCCGTATGTATTGTAAATTATAGTTGTTGTACTCCTACCACGCCGGATTGTCAATAGTGGTAAAAAAATGAGGTCGAAGTGTTTTCAGCAACCTTGTGAGTAGTGTGAATCACTTCAAAAGTGGTCTAGGAATAAGGGATTATATGCATCCAGTGGTACTTTATAAATTCCCATTAATTCTACTCAAAGGACTTAAAAGCACCCCAAAGATCCGAAAGAAGAACTTCTAACAAATTCTTTGTTAGCTGAAATTTCACTTCCTATAATCAGCAAATCACCAGTAGTTCATATGATATAAGAACTCTTCACCTAAGATGTCCTCATTCGAGGAGTAAGCTACATATGATCACGTGATTTGAATTCCGTAGAATGACCAGTGCTATGAGCAGTGGCTTTTTAGCTAGTAACCGGAAGGTTTAAAATCACGAACTCCCT